GTGTGTGTGTGTACAGCGTGTAGCTTAGAACGTTCCAAACGCTCGTGTGTTTTTTGTAATTTTGTAATAGCGATATTAAAGGAAAGGTAAATGTGTAATAGCGATATCCGACTGACCGATTCATCAGCATAGGGAACGAGTATCAACGCATCGTAGACCGTGCGCTCAGCGTTCCAGCAAACACCAGGGAATTGATAAATGTTCGAAAATTTATAAACGTCACGGAAACGGAAACTACCGGCCAACTCGAAAATCGACTGGAAGAAATTGTCAAGTATATACTCGTTTTGTCGGATTATTCCATCTCGAGTGCCGTCGAGTTGAAGACCAATAATTTCGCCTTTCAATGGTAAGCGAGCGAAGAAAGCGAACGAATGAAATGAAAGAATGAAACGAGAGAACGATCGATGAAAGAAAAGTTATTTATTCGTTGTGGGACGTTGTGGTATTACACGAATAGGTATTACAAACTTGCGGATATCTTCGAGCAACACCGATCGATAGTTGCGAGTAAGATTGGAGAATTCCAAAGCATCCTCGAGAGAAAGATGGAACAGTTTGAACGAGAGCTGAAGATGTACGCGAAATATTGCAACGAGCTGCAATATTGGGGCAACGTGGAGGAAATATATCGATACAAGAAGAAAGCTGATCGCTTGGAGAGCAAACTGATCGCCGCGATGGATACGATTGATGGATTTAACGAAGAGGAGGAACTGTTTGGTTGGCCACTGTCCCACTATCCTTTGCGAAAAACGGTAAGTTGTACAAGTACATTCTATTCTTTACATCTTATATACACGGCTGAATAAATAGGCAACTGAATGAGTAATCACCTCAGGTACGTACGTACGTACGTACGTACATTGCGTTACGTGTTTGTTAACGTTGACTGCTAACGTTTGTCAGACAGCGGACAAATTGGCCCCGTATAAAAGACTGTACGACACGACGTGCGAATTTTTAACAAACTACGACACGTGGATGAATTCGATGATAGGCTCGTACGAACCAGAGGCGATCGAGACGGCGACGGCGATTGCTCAGCGAACGATCTACAAGTTGGAAAGATCCATACAGGAGCCGATAACGAAGAGGCTCGTCGAAACCGTACGAACGAGAATGGACGAATTCAAAGAGCACGTGCCTGTAATTGCCACTCTTGGAAATCCATCCCTCAAGAGTCGACACTGGGAACAAATATCGGAGATTGTCGGTTTCCCTATAAAGGTCGACGAGTCGA